ATCTTCACATCACTGCTTTCGGTCATCTGATGTTACTAAGATTTCTTAAAGACCTCCTGCATGTTTACCCACCTGATAGAGAGCCATTTCCATCATGAAATCTCAGCATCTTCCTAAAGCTCATGGTGCTTCCAGGCAGGCTGCCATCATGAAATGTCTGCAAGCTCCAAACTGTTAAGTTCGTACATTCCTACGCACCCATATAGGAAGAAGGTGGTTCTGAAATTTCAGATACCTGAGTTTTACCTTAATCACCAGCCTTCTTCCCAAAGCCATACTCAGTACTAGGAAAGAAGCAGCTACATCCCTTGTGTATTTCTAGAGCCTGTGTCCAGAATAGGACTGTTTTAATCTAAACTGTCTTTGTGGATGTATCTAGCACCTGAAAAACCAAGCTATCTCATATCACAAAGAAATATCATGAGAGATCTCCACTGACTCTTTTTTAGCAATAAATATCTCTCTGAATCTCATGGCATGTGTAACATCTTCAGCCTTCTTCAGAAGTGCACTAGTATCTGATTTGTACAGCAACAATGTGGAGCAGCTCACAGACTTCTGTCATACATTGCATTTTTGACATGGTATCTAAATTTGATGCCAGGCTTAGGAGAGAGAGAGAGAGACTCCAGTCATTTGATTGCAGCTGGCACTCCTCATTCTCATCATCCAAAGTGGGGTACTGCTTGCCAGTAATCAACAGTGGAATCCACGCTGACACATACCTAAAGAAGAAAGTGCTGCTTTCTATACAATGACTGTAGTCCTTTGAGATTTTGTACTAAGTGCAGATCCCATAATCCTCCCTCTCTCCCACTTTTCATACTCCTCAATAGTACAGGGTTTAAAATGCAGAGGTATTGAACAGCCTCTCAATCCAATCTTCATTCTCTTACGTGGGAGCACAGGGAGGAACAAGGCATATGCAAGGCTGCAACAATAGTTTGTATATTTTCCCCCATACATGAGGCATGTGTGTTTATGAAGATGTGACTACAATATCAAAAAGAATCGCATGGAAGTTTTGACCATTCTTCAACAGTTAAAATCATAAACTTTCATAGATACTAGATTTAATTTTTTTTATTAGAAAATGTTAAAAATTATTGTTATTTTACAGGACTTGTAGAGTTGGAAGTAAAAATAGGACCCCGCGCATTGTAGCAAGGTGGTATAAGTTAATACAGTCTAAGACATGCAGTTAAGTTATTCATATAGCGTACATTAGCTTATGGTAAAAAGTTTAAGACAACGCTTTTGAGAAAAGAAAACTAGGACCTGTGCATGATAATCACATTGGTACAGAGTTCTAAGTTTGTAAAACACTTCTAGATGTTGGTGTTAGTATGTAGCATACAAATTGCTGGGGTGGATAATATTCAAGGCATTAATGGGCTTTACTAATTAATATAAAGTGCATGAGACAGGGGGTGAGGATTCAGTCCATCTCCTTGGTCTCAATTCTGTCAGTTAATCTCAGCCAGTGGTCTTCATACTGGCAATGGTGTGTGATATGCTCAATGGAGATGTCCCAATGTACCATGGGATGGTATTGGATACAGTGAGGTACCTCATCAATTTCAAGTAGCAGTGGGATACTCTGCAGAATTGCAGGATGTGCATTGCTTGGGGCCCCATTCTCCAAGTGCCTTGACTATCAGCACCTGCACCATCACATCAGAACTTCATGGCCTTCTAGCCTCCGATCCAACCAAATCACTTTAGCCTGTGCTTAAGTGCTTTGATAGACCAATAAATAGCAAGGGAAGAATGCTGCCTTTCAGGTTCTCTATGTTTGAGTGGTTGAAACCGAACATGTTTCTATCAGAAACTGCCAAGTTCACAGAATTGAAACACTGAGTGTTTCTAAGAAAACTTTTGACAGAGGCTAGGCAGGTTGACCGGCCTATCTGCTTACCTAGTTTCCTTTCAGCTCACCTTTTCATCTTCCCAGACTCTTCAACATTCCACCTGGAAAGCTGCCAATGGCATTGCTACTCCTCATCTTGCAGTTCTGAAGCAAATCACCAGGTTTGCATCCTCTCAATCTAAAGAGCTGGGACTGAGAATTTTCAGCAGCTTCTGTTTTTAGCAGTCTGAAACAGCTGTGCAAAAGTGTCCCTCCTGAAAAAAGAAGGGGGAAAAAAGAAAATAAAATCCTAGCTGACTTCTCATGGCACCTCATAAAATGGAGTTGTGTAGTTTTCACAGCATATAATTCATGTTTCCTCACAGCTCTGTTAACAGTGTAGATTTGTGGTTATTAACAGACCCATAACAAACAAACAAACAAGAAAAGAGGGGGGAGGGTAAATCAGTACTACAAAAATTGGGACCTGAAATTCTCTATTAGTCTAGTTCCTTCACCCATAGAATTTCTGGCAAGTGTACTGGAATCCAAGATTCAGGTGTTTAAGTTAGTTGTGTATTTACTCTATTTTTTTAAATGTAATAGAAAGAAGGACCTATAGAGGAGTTCTAGGTACCCCAATAATTAATCTTTCAACAGCATAATACATCTAGTAGAGTTAAAAACAAATGTTTAAATAGAAACAAATTAACTCACCTCAACTCATTGTCCCAGTGAATTTTCCTACAAAAAGGTTTCTTTCCATTCATTATCTCTGGAATAATATCTGAACTTTCTCCAAAAAGCCCAGAAAAATAGTAAAATTAGTTTTGAAAAAAATCAAAACAACAGCCTTTTCAGCAGTCAAGCTGCACTGGTGGAGAGATACAGGTGCCTGTTTTCCCACTGCTTAAACAAAGTTTGTGATACAAATAAAGGGTCCATCCACACCACCTTCAAAATATATACAGTCCTTTCTAAATATCAGAAAGAGAGAATTTGACTTTTAATAGAGATAGGTGCGCCAACTCAAATAAAATCAAAATCAACACTAGCCTTCAAAAATTCGCGCAACTCTCAACCAATATTTAGAGATTTGAGAAACCTGAATTAAGCATATTTGTTTGTAGTTTTATGTGTCTTTGTTTTCTAGGTTTGCCAAAAAGGGGAATGAGTATGATTTGTTTCCATAATAGTTTTGCTTCTCTTGGCACCAAGAATTAAACTTTTGAGAGATCTTTGTTCTCCAGAGAATTCTTACCAAATTTTCATACCAGGAAGGTTTAGATAAATTTGTACAAGCATCTTCATGTCATTAACTCTCACTTTCTCTGATATAATAATATTCTGAAATCTGGAACTTTCAGATGTCAGGAAATTATTGATATACCAAGCCTGGAAATATTAAAAAGTAAAATCTTGCACTCATCTTGAAGGGTCCTAAAGATCCCTACAAAATGGAATATAAAAAACGTAGTTAACATTGTCAAACGAATCCTTAAACTAACCCCTGGAATGTAAAACAGGTGTCAGCACCCCTAGCACGTGTGCCATAGCATGACACGCAAGGCCATTTTGCTCGGAATGCCACAGTTGGCCTGGGCTCTGGGCAGCTGCCACTGGCCACACAGCCTGGGCTACTCACAGCAGGTAGCCAGGAGGCTATAGTATAAGCCCTGCTGCAAGCAGCACGGGTCTGTGGCAGGTAGCAGCTACCCAGAGCCTGGACTGGCTGTGTCAGACAGGCATGCCTGCGCTGTGTTGGGCAGACTGTACACATGCTGTCCCCGGCCCCTTCTTGGGTGGTGCAGCCACCACCATCGTAGAGCCCACCCAAGGCTCTGAAGCCCAGTACAGCTGTTTGCAGCCTCTTGGCTGCCTGCCACAGCCAACCTGGGCTCTGGGCAGCTGCAGCAGGCAGGCTGCAAACAGCTACACCGGGGTCCGGAGCCCCAGCACTGACCCTGTGATGGCAGTTGCACGTGCAACTCGGTGCCTGTGGCAGGGAAGGGGCCAGAGCTGTGCAACCTAAGCCCTTTCCCCACTGTCCACCTGGGTATTTCACAGCTCCTCCACCATTTGCATCTGGCACGCCAAGTCGAAGTGCAAATTGAGGTTGGGGTGTTTTTGGCACTCTGGTCAAAATGTTGCCAACCCCTGGTATAAAAGAAACTAGAAAGAAAATCTTGGGTAAAACTGTATATAATGTAATAAGAGATTCTTTACACTAACTTTGCTATACTATACTGCGTCCCCTGCACTCAGAAATTTTTACATAGTAGATTTTGCATGGTCTAATCTGAATGTTCCCAGTTTTTCCTGGATATTTGTAAGAGGAAAAGGTAAAGTAATTGATCTTCATGTCACTGAAGAAGAGTGGGGGGTTGGTTTGGTTTTTTCTAAGATTAACTAGTACAGGTATTTCAGATTACAAGAGGGGATTACAGGAGCATTTTAGAGATAGAAGAATGATAAAAACTCTTTGTTATAAAAGCTTTACATCCCCAAAAGCACAACCCTGTATTAAATTGGAATATCCTTTATAAATTCAGACACCTATATCCATTTCATATTTTCATGACAGAGCTCTGAGAAGCAGAATAAATGAATATATTGAGCAGGTTTTAGTAAAATATAGAATGATAAAGCAAATGCCTATGATTGAGAATTTGTTAATCAGAGATCATTTAGCAATTTTTTCATTTCCTGGTTTGCAATTCAATTTCCTGTGCTCTTATTCTTTCTTACTTCTCCCCTTACCAACAAACAGCTGAGTAATGGGTCAGATTTTCAGATACTTGCAGCAAATGATAGAAAAATAAGACATAGATGGTTAAATACAGTAGATCCTATGTGAGCGTTCTAAATTAAAAATATATCAATCCTTATTGGTATCCCATTGAAAAGAATATACCAAAGACACGATAAAAGCAGGAATGTGCCCTTAAACTGTTGTTTGTGAAGAAATGAAGATGTATACTAAGCTACTACTAAATAGTACAGTGCATTCAATAAATTCTCTAGTAGAGACTTGTTTAAAGTGCCTGTTTCATTCGGTTGTACAGAATGAAGTGGAAGTTTCCTGTTCCAAAGGTTAGTTTACCATGAGTCCTTGCTGTATTGATTTCTTTTTCTGTTTGTGTGCCTGTAGGAGCAGTCTCACAGGTGCTGGATAGCCTGGAGGAAATTCATGCGCTTACAGATTGCAGTGAAAAAGACTTAGATTTTCTACACAGTGTTTTCCAGGATCAGCATCTGCACACTCTACTAGATGTAAGTCCTTTTATAGTAGATGATTTGAATATATTTTCATATTTAATAACTAAATATTTCTGCTTATTATGTATTTTTAAATCACTATACAATATTAACTGCTTTTCTGCATACCGCTTGTTTTGTTTGGTTATAAATAAGAAAATATATAAATGCAATAACTGATAAATGTAACATCAGGCAAGTATGATGACATCAAAATACAAAGATTACCATGGGTTATAGTGCGTGTAGAGGGTTTTAGAAATCTGACATTGCACAAGACTTAATCACATGGAAGTGATTTAATGTATTGACTTGTAAACTTACACATTGAACTAATTATCTCTATCTGCTAAAATACTGTAATTCAACAGGCTATACTTACTTCTTTTGTTGATGTGTGGTTTATTGTTATGCAAGATCTATGTTATGAATATTCTAAATGTATAGATTAAATTCCTCTTTTTAAATGAAGTATTCTTAGATCATTTTGTCACAGTCTTACATCAAGGAAGTTAAGCTTTTTTTGTGCATAAAAACTGTGATGAGTCTGTTTGAAGCATACCCAAGCAAGGCAGGTGAGAGGCTTGCAACTCAAAGGAAAACTTCTGCAGTTTTTTGAAAACCAGATTGTATTGGCAACCTAGTACAAAGACATAGAGGCTCGTGCAAATGTTTTAGTCTTAAAATGCGCTTTTCAAGCAACGCTAGTTTGTATATAGAGATTGGTTCCCCCAGACGTGTGAAGTCCAGGAAGTGTGAGAGTTACAAAAGCTAGAGATAGATATCACCAGTTGAAGCAGATGAGCTGTGGCACAACATTTTTGCAGCACAGCTAATGCACTTAACTGGGTAAAACATGTCACCCCTTGTCCGAACCTTGATGGTACAGGACAAGGGGAGTGTGATCTCCAGAGGCAGTTTTGGGTGAACGGGTAAACTCACCTAGACCTATCCCTGGATATCACATCCCACTAAAGGCAGGACAGCAGGAAATGTGTTTCGCCCAGTGAAACAGTTTTTCCTTTGATGTGGCACGACGAAGTGTAGGGACATCTATTTGCTCACTATTTGTGCCGCCATAAAAAAATTTATGGTAGCACAAATGAGATGTCAGTTGAGATCTGTTTCCCCCCGTAGAACTAAAAACCACCTGCTAAACTCTAGACTTCTCTTGCTTAGGTTGCCACAGGCAGACTAAGCATCATTGTAGGCTTATTCCCTTCCACTGGCATTGTGTCAGAACTATTCCTGAAAATCACGTAGATGGTGTATGGTTGTTGGTTATAGCTATGTTGGTCTAAGGACACAGGCAGGCAAGGTTCTTTGGGTAGATGTGATATCTTTTATTAGACCAACTAAATAGCTAAATAGATAGATGGTGTATGACATTAGTGATGCGAACAACATGTGGGAACTCAAAATAAATAGAGATGTGCCTTCCTCAGTTTTGATTCTGGGATATATAAATATTTAATTATAAAGACAGTGGGTTGGTTTTGAGTCAGGTGCTCATTCTCTGAAGTAATTTACCCAACAGAATGAAAACTGGCCAGAGAAGAAAATGCAAAGAAACACAAGGGGTTAGTCTGCAGCCCCAGGACTCCCACCAGCTGCTGTTCTCCCTATCACTCCAGCTGCTGCAGTAGCCAGGATCTCCACTTCCTGTACTGACCCCAGGTGGCAGTGTGGTATGGCACAGCATGCAGTTCTGGGGGAGCCTGCAGCCAATGATGTGGCAAAGGAGCAGTATGTACAGTCCAAAGTAGGGGGGGGTACCTGTGCACACAATGTGGGGAGGTGCCCTGAGCTCACGCTGTTGCAGCCTGCCCTGTGTGCTGCCCCTGCTAATACAGCCCATGTGGGGTGCAGCTACCAGCTACTTAGAAATTAGATGGCCTTGATCTAGGTGAAGACATTCTTCACCCTTCCTTTAAAGCTGCGTCATTCTGCAGCCGCAAAAGGAAGATTCATAGGATCTGAGAGAGCCTGCTTGTACTCAAGTAATGAGGGCATTCATAGGGAGGGTTCGGGGTTCCAGTCTTCACTCCAAGCACTGTTTATTCATTTGACATTACATAATCATTGGATAAAATAGATAACGGATGGCAAAAGCATCTAACATGAATAGGCAGGGTTTTGTGGATGCTCAGTTGCATTCTAGGTGCTTACATTCCACCTAGAGTTGTGTGTTTTTTGGATCTGGACTATGGTGTTTTGGAATAAACCCTGTGAAATGCAACATTTACCTTCTGTTCCATGTACACTGTCTTTATTACTTTAGTATCTGAAAGTATCTTTACATGACATGACTGTAACTTGTTCTCTCAACCTTTCCCCTGGGGGAGAATTATACTTGCAGGAGACTAGGGGCTTTTGGGTAGATTTTTGTATTCCATTCACTTAGGAACACATTAATTATTAGCCAAATAGTACAAAACTTGTGTCCAGGGAGGCATCCAAGTAAAATTGGGTATCTGAGAACACCCTTTCTTTCATATGACTGAAATGCTGACCTATTAATACTTAGAGAAAAAAGTTCCGATATCTAGGTCCTCTCTCATCTTAGCTGTTATGCTGAGGAAATGAAAGAATTGAGTGGCTCTATTACTGAATCCTGTTGGCAAAACATTCATGTGAGCACAGCTCTTTTACTTGAGAATGTCTAGAGGTCCAGCAACATTAATTGTGCCACAGGTAAGAAATTCTTGACTCCCTGTTCTTTTACACAGGTTTGCTCTGTTTACATACCTTTTGGTGGCACGGGCAGGAAGCTTTTCCTGGCAGTAATATCCAGCAGTGTAGCAGAAAAGTCTGAGCTGTACTGCAACCATTCCATTTTGAACAAAACACTAGACTGGTAGGCTAAATTAATCTGACACAGTCCCTGTAATCTGTGAAGCTACACCACGGTGCTGTGAGTGTGTTGTGGACTTGACATCCAATTTTATGAAGGCCAAACTGTTCTCAGACTACTTTTCTTCAATCAAAGATTATTCGTCATAGAGACGAAAAGCTTGGTAGGATTGAGCCATTATTTAAAATTAGTAACAACTTCTTCTTTTTTTTTTTTTTAAACTAATCCTGTTAGCACTTCAGAGGCCAAGTGTAGCCATGGGAAAATGATCTGATTTTGCACTGCTTCATAAATCATCAACAGAATAGTAAACTAACTTCCAGTTGTTTACGCTAGGACTTTGCAAGCGTAACTAAGCTTAGAATTCAGCCCACATCTTTTCTTTTTTAAACTGACAGCATACAGGGCGAGCCCAGGGGAGGTTCAGCAGTGCACCCCCCTTTGGCTGTGTGCTGCATGTGCAGTGTGTGGCCAGCACCAGTGACCAGCATTTCCACCACTGCACATTCCTGTCGCTAATTTAGGGGGGAGGGGAAGAGCAAACATTGAGCTCTCTTAATCAGAGAGCTCACTGGCATCCAGGATCACAGCAAGAGATCGTGGCCACACCACCGCCATAATCCTAGATCCACCCACGACAGTGCATGGACCAAAATATGCCTAGTTTATGCCAGAGGAATTTATACCCACTAGCACCAAGATGGAGAAGAGTTTTCTTTATGCTGCCATTACATGCTTTCTCCAACCTTTGATCTTTTTGCTGTTGAATTGACTTTTGTATTGTAGCCCCACACAGGTGGAGGTATTTGCAATAACAGCAAATTGTAAGGCAGCAGAATAATAGTAAAACAATCAGTAGAATATCCTACAGTTTTAAAGTCTTTCTGCTGTAAAGGTATAGCAAGCTTTGTTATGAGCTTTGAGTTTTATTGCATAACTTCACTGGCTCTGAATAAATGATGGTACTAATTTATCTATCACAAATGAGTTTTATTGAGTGCTTTAATATATACTGACTCATTATGGGCAGATAAATTATACCGCTGGCTAATTAATTTAGCCTGTAGATTTTTTTTTTTCAGGCAAATTATTTTAAAGCCATATCTTATATTTTAGTTATTCTGCCATTCATATGGTTTTTGACACTGAGGCTAAAATTATTTATCCTGAGGCTACTGAATTTATTGATTCATTAATCATAAGGCCAGAAAGGAGCCATTCTGTTCATGTAGGCTGACCTGCATAGTTCAGGGCAAAAAATTTTCACTCAGTAGTGCCTTCATTAAGCACAGAATTACTGGTTAAATTGTAAATCATCTTTTAGGAAGACAGCCAGTCATGATTTAAAGAATTTTAAATGAAGAATCCGCCATTCCAGTTGAAAGGAATGATCCCTGGTTTACTTTTAAGAATGTAAATTTTATTTCTAGTTTGAGTTCATCTACTTACAGTTTCAAGACACTGAATCTTTTTACATCGCTTAATGCAATACAGGGAGGCTGTATTTTGAAATAACCCTGATATGAGTACCTCTGTAGAAAAGAGTGTATGACTTTTTGTGCTAAATTAACAATCTCTATTGTATCAGAAATCTTTTCCCTATGTGTAGGTATTTAGAAACCATGATAAAGTCACCCAATAACTTCCCTTGGATAAATTAACTAAAATTAGGTTTTTTTAGTGTCCCAATGGATGGCAGGTTTTCAGGCCTTGGATCATTCTTGTTCCTATTTCTGAAATATTTTTAATTTTTCAGTGCTTTTTTCAGAAATGCAACTGCCATAACTGGACACATTGTTCCAATAACAGTCCAACCAATGCTGTGGATGATCTTTTTATGTAAGAAAGAACATAAAGTGGTCATAGACATCTTGTCATTCAGCAATTCTTTTGAAAGTCTTGGTCATTCTTTTAATGAGACAGAAAGCAGCGTGAATGAGAAAAGCAGTTTAATGTTTTACTAGAATATGTTAAATGAGAAATCTTTAAATCTGAAATCTTTCCAAAGGCATGCTTACTTGAGTTACGAAAAATAAAATCTGTAAAACACCCAACTGTCAGAAAATATATGCTTAAAAATATTGACACAGCACAAAGCAGATTATTTTAAGAAGCGAAGAAGCTTTTATTTCAGCAAATTAGATTATGCATTTTGTTTGTT